GCAGTTGACCAAGCTGTTACTTGGCTACCATTGCGGGGCCCTCAGGCGCTGAAGATACCAAGGCCCTCTCCAGTGAGTTTGAGAGCACCCCTCTTGTATTTGAGAGTCTCAAACCCTCTTCCTCTATCCTTCTTACTCTGAGTCTGGTCTTATTCTGAGGGGAAGGCGCCAGGCGGGATTGCAACCCGTAGAACCGCATCAAGACTTTGTGGGGAGTCCACCCACCGATTGCGGGAGCTCTACCGGAGCCTAGGCGAGGCTGTGGAGGCAGGGAACCGTTAGGTAGCCATTGTTGTTCGCCCTCGGCTGGTCTACCTCTGCGATTGCAACTCATTAGCTCTCGTATTGTGGACTGGTAGCTCGGCGAGGATACGCCCACCGAAGGGAGGTGACAGCTCCCGTAAGGTGTAAGTAAGTCGTGCCTCGCGTAGGCCGTATCCTGTTGTAGGGGCTCGCGAGAGGTATGGTTGGCGCACTCGGCCGGAGCGGCTTAAGGAAGCTCCACATGTATTATATGCGACGAAGGACTTAAACCAACTCCTGCGTGACGCGGCCGGGAGGGTCCCGCGCTGCCTCGTGTGGTGGCGGACCGATGCGCTCGACAGGTGGCGCCGTTGCCGGGGATGACGGTTGCCTACTGTTGTCCCTGGAGGAATGACATCCGGTTATGAGGTTGATTGAAAGAAGGCATAAGGGAAATAATGAAAGGATAGGGAGGAATAAAGGATGGTTAAGCATATGTTGTCCGACTGTCGATTGGGGTTAGGGGAAGTTATAAGGGACGACCGCGTTAGTAATGGGTAAAGTATATAGTAAAGAGTTAGGTAGAGCGGGTGGAATAGACCGGTCAAAGTATAATGCTGAATAAGGGGATGTACTTGTTTTCTCTTATCAGGAAGCTTGAAAAGAAGAGGCTGCCAAGATGCCTGAGACTGGCGGCGCATCGGATGATCCCAGGAAGGGCCTGACGCTCGATGACCTCATTGCGGCCATTGACCGGCATGAAAGGAACCCGAGCAATATCCCTAAGGTCGATACCTTTCATTTTTGTGGGGAGAGAGTCTCAGACTGGCTGGAGCGGGTGGAACAGGCTTTGGTAGGGCGGTCGGATGTTGTAAAGTTTCAACGCATTCTCCAGTACGTCCACCACAGCTACCACCAAGAAGTGAAGAAAGTCATAAATGCGGCCCAAGGTAGCTGGGAAAGGTTCAAGGAAGGAATGCTGAGGAAGTACCGCCTGGAAGACGGATTGTTGACCACCACGGACCTTGAGGCGATGAACAAAGAGGACTTTACGACGATAGGGGCCTTTGTTCAAGAATTCAAGAAAAGGGCACGGAAGGTCCATGGGATTTCGGAGCAGGCGCAGTGTGCTATCTTCCTGGGGCTACTTACGGCATCGGAGGCCGTCGAGCTGACAAGGCATGGAGGAGGCAGCACCAAGCTCACCTGGGCCACCATTGACAAAGGGGTGGAAGTCGGATGCTTGGACCAGGTGGAGCAACGCCAGGTACGCCTGTAAAGGCAGAAGAGAAAGGAAAGAGATGCGACCGCTTCTGGGACCCCGGGAGTAAAAAGGATTGTTACGGACGTACTGACGCAGCTGGGGTATGGGACAGAGCCGGTGGTGCAGAGAAGGGTAGTGACGGTTGTCTAGGTAAAAGGAAAGGAGCCAGTGGTGGAGGAGGCCGTTCAGGAGGAACTCTGGGAAGAGGAAGAGTCGGTGCCGCAGCACCTGACGAAGGCCCAACGCAAACTGCATAACTTGGCGCAGGGTGGGCAGGGGTCAGGAAAAGGGCATACGCCCCAGGCCTTGGCGGTCACTCCTCTAAATGTGGCGGCTCCATCGTTTAGTGAGGGCCCCTCTCAAGGAGGGGCACCCTCCTACGGACAGTGGCCCTGGCCGGTGATCAATGCAATTGTGCCATGGGGTAGCCCGCCGCCAGTAGCCTGGCCATAAATGAGTATGCCGCCACCCATCTACCCTGCAGCCCAGGCCCAGCCTACGACCCCGCCGCCGTCACCCGCTCCCAGTTCACAGGGAAGCGTGGCTGGAGGTGGGAACCAGGGGCAGGGCAATCAAGGCAACGGAGGAAGGGGTGGAGGAAGGGGGCGAGGCAGGAATGGCGGCGGACGAGGGGGACAATGGAATGGTCAAGGCCGGGGGAGTCAAGGCCAAGGGAACCAAGGCCAGGGGTATCCAGGCCAAGGGGACCAAGGCCAGGGGGATCAAGGAAGTCAAGGGTACGGAAGGGCCCGCTTTGACTGGAGGTCGGCCATCTGTCAACACTGTGACAAGCAAGGCCACACTATAAGGTTCTGTAATATAAGGCGAGAAGATGAGAGGAGCGGACTGATTTTCTCCACTATGGACGGAAACATTTATGACCAGTTTGGGGAGTCCATTGACAGAAGGCTCGGAGGAGTGAGAGCGGAAGCCCAACGAAGGGCGGCGGCCGGGCCGCCGCCTCCTGCCACGTTTAGGCTATGGCAGGAGAAGGAAGAACCATCGATGGGGATAGAGGAATTTAGGCTATGGCAGGAAAAGGAAGAAACACCGATTGGAATAGAGGAAGTGGGGAGCGATGAGGAAGTGACTCAAGGGCCACGAGGAGGAAGTAAGAGGGAAGAGCCTATAATCATCGAATCGGACGACGAGGATGAGGAAAGGAGGACTGAACTGCTGTTCGTCTTGTTGGGGAAAATGGAGGACCTGCTGGATAAGATGGGGAGGTACCAATAGAAATTGGTCGGTCTCTGTGAGGAAGTGAGGGAATGGAAGTCTAGCATCCCCAAGGTGTTCCTCTATGACTCCGGTCCGGAGTCAGCGCCTGGGCGACCCGGAGTAAATGTGGTGGGGTCGGGCCCACAATCGGGAGTGATGGGGAGACCCCTCACCCCGCAGGCCCGGCTGGCGCAGGCAGCGCGAACGAGAAGTCAAGCCAAGGCCAGTGCCAGCCAAGAGCCTCCGAGGAGGGAGCCGGAACAAGAAAAAAGGAAAGAGGACGTGGAAGTGGAGGATGACGATGATGAGGAGGAAGAAGACGAGAGACTGCGTCGAGAAGAGGATCAGAGAGCGGAGCAGCGGGCAAGGAGAAAGAGAACCAGGGAAGAGGCTGAGCCAGTCATGCGTGACAGACCGCCCAAGAAGAAAAAGTACGCGGTTCGGTTGGAAGAGGGGTTTGACGTAGAGCGGGTGATCGACAGGCTGCTATTAGGGCATAACGATCTCATGACCCTGAAGGAAATCCTGGCGTCAGCCCCGCGGCCCCGCGATGAATTAAAGGGAGGTTGTCGCGGCGCTTGGTGCCCAACGTCCATCTAGGTACGACTCTGCCCAAGGAGGCAGAGTGGGCGGAGTCGCGCACGAAGATGGATTGGAAGTGCGTGGTCTGCGACATGGTGGATTTGGTGGTGAAGGGTTCCAAGTGTGCAGCAATGGTGGACACCGGGGCAAATGAACATCATCCGGGAGGCGGACGCTATCAGATTCGGACTGGATATAGACCGATCTGATTGCGGAATTCTACATGGAGTCAGTTGCAGGGCCGTGTTTTGTGGGACAGCCTCGAATGTACTCATCGAGGTTGGAAAGGTAAAGGCCCGAACTTGCTTCTTCATCATGCCGGACGTGGACCACGAGATCCTCCTAGGAAGGTCATTCCTGAGCAGGACGGAGACCGTGATGTTCAATAAGCATGACGGGACAATAATTTTTCTCCTATGTGACCGTGCCTGCGGGAATTACGAGATAATTACCTGCAAAAATACAGGACCGAGGAGTATAAGGAACCGGCCCAACCCAGGATCCTTCACGATCGAAGAGTCGGAAAGTGAGCGTCGGAGGCTCCGGGCGGAACCGGAGGGGGAAGAGAAGGTGGAAGCATTTTTCCTAAGCCTGTTGGACGTCGGGAAGGCCATGGACTTGGTGGCCGCGCATGAGATGGCAGATCCGGATGCCATCCAGGCCATGAGGGAGCAGGTCCTGGAATGCCCCGAGGCGGGGAGGTTGAAGCTGGTATATCGTCTTCCGGACGGCGGGAGGAACCCCGCATCAGCGCAGGCGCAATCTGTGAGTCGGCCTTTTTTAGGGGACGGCTCAAACAGGGTTCCCAAAGGTGGTGCAAGACGGTAGAGAAGAAGTGTCGCCCGGTTTCCGTCCTCGTTAGAGAAGACGAGGAAGCATACTACGAGAGGGAACGAGGGTTGATACGGCGAATGAGTGAGAGTGCTGTAGCAGGACCATGTCTTATCAACGAAGGGAATGAGGGGAAGTTGATTATAGAGGAACCCGACTTCCTGCTGCCTCAGGAACGAACATTGATGGTGGAGTTGATGAAGAGGAAGCATCGCGCCTATGAGTTTAGTGACGAGGAGCGTGGCAGGCTGGATGTGGACAAGATACCTATGATCCGCATCCACACCGTGCAACACGAGCCTTGGATCATGAGAGGGGCGCGATATCCTAATTGTGACGAGGAAAAGAAGGTGGTGGATTACCTCGACGGCAAGATACGTACACACGTCGCTGACTATTCGAGTAGACCGTATGCGTCCCCGTGGTTCTGCTTCATCAAGCCTAACGGGACGCTGCGGTGGGTGCAAGATTTGCAAAGGCTGAATGCGGTGACCGTGCATGATGCTGGAGGATTGCCCAATGCGGACGCGCTGTCGGAATCTTGTGCTGGAAGGCCTATAATCTCACTTATAGACCTTTACTCAGGATATGATCAGATCCCGGTCTACCCGCCGGACAGGCCGGTGACGGCTATGCACACGCCACGGGGACTAATCCACATGAACGTGGCCCCACAAGGGTGGACCAACGCGGTAGTAATGGTCCAACGGGCCATGATTCGGGCTATGCAGTCAGTCAGCCCCCATATCACACAGCCATACATCGACGATTTGGCGGTGAAGGGGCCGGCAGTGAAGGAGAGCGACGAAGTCTTGCCAGGGGTAAGGCGCTTTGTTTGGAAGCACATCCAGGACCTCGAAAAAGTCATGAGCCTGCTCGAGGAGCATAACCTCACGGCGAGCGGGGCCAAATCTAGACACTGCATGAGGGAAGCGACTATCTTTGGGTTCGTCTGCAGCGAGAAGGGCCGAAGGCCGGATGTGAAAAAGACGGACAAGATTACTGAGTGACCAGTTTCTTTCCACTCAATAACTGATGTCAGGAGCTTCCTTGGTACGTGTGGATTTTGGAGGGCCTTCGTCAAGAACTTTGCCGCTAAGACTTAACACCTGAGGAAGTTAGTCCATCAGGATCAGGAATGGGTCTGGGGTGAAGAGCAAGAAGAGGTGGTGGCCAGAATGAAGGAGGAATTTCGAGAAGGAGGGTTGGTATTGGGAGCGCCAGATTATGATGCCACGGAGACGCGACCCTTCATTGTCGAAACGGATGCGGGGCTGACTGCCTGAAGGGGGAGTTCTAATTCAGGACATGGAAGGAAAGGAGAGACCCTTGAGATTTGAGAGTCGGACTCTCTGTACGACCGAGAGGAACTACTCTCAGTTCAAGAGGGAGACCCTTGCCGTCCTCCACTGTCTGCGGATCTTCCGAAACTACATCTTCGGCAGGAGGTTTATTTTGAGAGTGGATCCGACCGCCCTGGCCTACTCTCTAAGGAATTACGTCCCATCGGATCCGATGGTTGCCAGGTGGCTGACGTACATCTGGATGTTTAATTTCGAGTTGGAGCGGATTCCTGGCAGTAAGAACCGAGCAGACGGGCTGAGTCGGATCAACTGGGATAAACAGGAAGGGGAGGCGGTGGAGAATATGCCCCCAGTTGCTGGATTTCTGGATCAGGAGGAAGATGTTCGTCTCCATATCAACAAGTGGTCGCCGCGAGTACCCAGCTGTGTAGGCTATCCTATCTGGCAAGCGCCGAGTGGGTATGAACGGAGGGCCGAGCTAGTCCTCAAACCCTTCGAAGAAGAGGATCCCTGGGGTGGTAAGGGTGTTCAGTGGATGATGGAGTTGGCGCTGGCTAGTTCGCATAGTCTGGTGGAGGACATGAGGACGATCGAGGAAGGACCAGGCCAGGTAGAATTGCTCGAGGACCTGATGAGAGGAATGTATCTCCTCGTCAACATGTTATTGCAGGAAAGCCTCGACCAGTCAGGCTCATTGAACCCGGCAGGGAATGTGGACGAAGTGCCCGAGAGTCAGGACGACGAGTTCGAGGAAGGGGAGATTAAGGAGGCCTTTCGTGCAGAGGAGTATGACGGGATCTACCTAGAGCTGGGACTCCTTCTGTCTTGCGAAAGGCGGCTAAGGGATGCGAGCGATAGGGCTCAGAGGATAATGCAGCGCTACTTAGTGCGAGACGACCACCTTTTCGTAAGGAGAGAAGTCGGGAATCCCAGGAGAGTCGTCTGCGGTAGTAATCGTCAGATTGACGTCATAGCGGCACTTCATGACGGCATTGCAGGAGGGCATCGAGGGGTACAAGCCACGTATGCCAAAATAAGTGAGCTATACTACTGGGATGGGATGATGGACATGATCGGAAAGTTCTGTCGATCTTGCGTGCCCTATCAGGAGAGATCCCGTTTGAGGCAAGGAGAGCCGTTACACCCAAGGTTAGAGCGGGAGGAGGGAGCCGTAGTGCATCTCGATCTGCTTTTCATGCCGCTTGGGGATCAGGGCTATAATTACATCTTCGATGCGCGCGATAACCTGTCTGGCTTCGTAGATGGGCGTGTCATTCGTACCAAGACTGGTCCAGCCTTGGTTAGCTGCATCGAGGAGTACCACCTGCGTTATCCTTTTGTCAGAGAGTTTGTAATGGTTAGGGGATTTGAGTTTACCTGCCAGGATGTGCAAGAACTGCTATCAAGGTATGGTGTAGTAGCTAACTACACTACGGCCGCGCACCCCCAGGCAAATGCTCCAGTGGAGAGAGGGCATAGTACCATTACGAACCTCCTGGCCAAGTGGACCGGAGGTAGGCCTAATCAATGGCCAAGGTACCTAAGGTCGGCATTCTTTGTTGAAAATATTACAGTAAAAAGATCCACCAAGTACGGACCGGCGACGTTGTGGTATGGAAGGCACGCCACTTTCCCAATCGAGGATCTGGAAGTTAGCCTGTCATTTGAAGAATTGCTCGATATTCGGGCGCGACAGATAGGGGCGATAGAGGAAAGGATCCAGGAGGCGTCCGATCAGGTGGCGAGAAGCCGTATGGATGATAAGGCTCGATGGGATCAGTCTGCACGGGTGAGGAAAGTACCTTTGCCAGTTGGGGACGTCGTGCTCCTCTACGATTCATCTTTGGAGAAGCAATGGTCCAGGAAACTCGATAAGAGGTGGTTAGGTCCCTACCGGATCGTACGGGTTGGAGACTTCGGAGCATACCAGATTGAGGAGCTGAATGGGACTGAGTGGAAGGATTGGGTATCTGGAACGCGGTTGAAGAAATTTGTGGCGAGATAAGAGGTAAGAGAGATGATCTGACTATCTTTAGAATAGAGGCGGTAGGTTGTGTAGGTCAGATAGGTTGCATGCTACATAAGTGTGGTCTGGCCCGAGCTTGCTTTGACTATCACCTGTTTGCTTACCCCAATGTGTGCCTGTTGTCTCCTTCGCCTGTTGTGCAGGTCTGACTTTACGAAGACAGCCATGCCAAGAGGAGGGAAGGGGACACGGCCCCCTCGGAGGCCGTTGGGCGCATCAGGAGGGTATGAGCGGCATGGGCCTCGTCATCGAGAGAGCACTCCAGAGTATGATGGTGACGATATCGAGCTATTCCTGGACAGTTTCTGGGAGCACGCGAGGCGTATGGGTTGGACTGTGGCTCAGGGGATTGAGAGGCTGAGGGGAGTTGGCAGGTTCGAGGAGCCTGTAGCTCGGATCCGCAGGGAGGCGACGACGAGGTCAGAGGTGGAGATGAGGATGCAGGAGCTGCGGCCCTCGCCTATGGGACCTGATGGCAGGCCGATCCGCCTGGAGATTGGGAATGCGTCGGACTTCATCCCCGCTTTTGAGTGGTTCATGCAGGGGCAAGGTATACCGAGAGACGATTGGATGCAAACACTACCACTTTGGACCAGGAAGGCGGAAAGACCACTGGCTAGGCAGGTCAGAGACATGGCCCGGGACTAGGAGAGCTACAGAGCACATCTGAGAGAGGCCTTTTGACGGCCAGAGCCCCCTCAGCCCAGAGTTGAGAGGCGTCAGAGGAGTCAGAGGCAGAGGGACCCTGAGCCCAGGGAGGCGAGACCATCTCGAGGAGGACGAAAGGCCCTAGCTAGGAGAGAGGAGGAACCGGAGCCGGAACCAGAGGCTGAGGAGCGAGGGGCGTACCCTGAGTGTGGGTTGGGACCAGTGGAGTTCTATCGGTTTACCGAGGGTGGATTGAGGAGGTCGCCAGCACGCACACAGGAGGAGCCGCCAGCGTCTGAGGGGCCCTTGAGGGAGTCGGAGGCGCATTTGGATGTCTCTCCGTGGAGAGTGTCGCCTCGGGGTGAGGAGCATGGAGAGCAGGTGGAGGAGGTGCCACGAGAGGAGGTGCCACGAGAGGAGGTGCCATGAGTGGGGATGCCACGAGAGGAAGTCCGAGATGCTCAGCGAGAGAGAGGGCTAGGCGATGAGGGGAGACGTGCAGGAAAGGAAGTGATAGAGGTTGGAGAGGACACGCCCCCTCAGACGCCAGTGGTGGGCTTGAGACTCGGGGGCGCACCAGGGAGCGCTTGCCAGGCAGCAGAGGGGTTGCAGAGAAAAGAAGCCCCATTGCCTTCATCAGAAAAGGCTCCTTCGCCAGAGAGGAGGGCAAAAAGGAGGAGAGAGAGGGCAGCTGTAAGGAGAGAAGCCTTGACCCTGATTGACAGGCACCTAGCAGCTCATGCCCTGGAGCACCCAGACCTGGAGGAGCCAGCACCTGCAGAGCCGCGCCGGGAGCCGTGCCAGCCCGAGAAGGAGGTGGAGGCAGAGATCCCAAAGAGGGTCGACCTCCGCAAGAGGGAGAGGGCGCCAGCTGGAGAAACAGCTGAAGAAAAGAGGGCGAGAAGAAGCACGAGGATAGAAGAGATATGGCAAGAGAGGCAGAGGTTGGAGGCAGCAGGGGCACTTCCAGAGCAGCGGCAGGAAAGACAGAGATTGGAGGCAGCAGGGGCGCTCCCGGGTCATCCACCCAGCGAGCCGGCTAAGGCTCCGAAAATCCCAGAGATGTAGAGGGACTTCTGGGAGCAGAGAGGAGAGGAACTTCCTTCGCCAACCAAAGCCGGGTTTGGGATAGCAAGTAAGGCAGAAGAGAGGTTGGATCGCAAAATCAAGTTCCTGGCCAAGACAACTTTTGACCGACACTTGTTGTTGGAGAGCGATCTGGCGGGGAAAAAGACCAGAGAAGAAGACCATGGAGTACGCCTGGAGGCTATGGAGGTGGAAATCCAGGAACTCAGGGCATTGGTGGCCAGTCAGGCAGCTATCATCGAAAGCCTAAGGCAGCAATCTCAGGGAAGAGCGGACAAGTCGGAGAGCAGCCGGCAGGGAGAGCAGAGGCAGTCAGGACATGGTTTGCCAGGACAGCCATCTGCAGCAGAGGCTCGCCAGGAGCCACCTATGGGGAGAGTTATCCTGGAGCCAGAGGAGGCGAGAGCCCAGAGGGAGGCAGAGAGAGAGGCCTTTGAGTTCAGAGCCCCTACTGAGCTCGCGACGCTACCTGTAGCAGCGGCGGGCCCAGTCATACCTTTAGCAGTTGAGGAGGGGCTACCACCGCCTAGCAGTGAGCCACCTCAAGGCTTAGCAGAGGGATTCATGGACGTGCTCCTTGAGGCAGTGCATACTATGCAGGAGGAGGCGAGTTTGTTTTCGCCTGAGCAGAGGATAGAGGAGCCTCTAGAGAGAGAGATGAGGATTGAGGCAGGGGGTGTCATCGAGGGCGGGTTCCAGAGGTTGGGCACGCCTGAGTATGGGCCAGAGGGGATTGAGGATCGACCAGGGCCGAGTACCCAGGAGGCAGAGACAGGAGAGGAGCCTTTGGATATGCCTTAGAGCCATGAGCTGAGCAGGGAGGCCAGCGAAGCACCGTCGTCACCAAGATCTCAAAGAGGAAAGTAGAGATCCAGGAAGTGGTTTGATACGTCCTGCTTCTTCCGTACAAAGGAGGGGCATCGAGCCTTGCAGTGTCCTAAGTTCTTGAAGGACAAGGCTGAAGGGAAGGTTATAGAGGAGGGAGGCAGGATGTATGATAGACAGGGTAGAATAGTAGAGAGATCTGCAGATGGGGGTAGGGCTAAGCTGTATAGGCAAAACCAGGAGGAGATGAGTGAGTAGGACTGGGTTACCTATATGGTTGACATGTTGTGTATAGGACCAGAGCAGGACAGGGTGATGTCCTTTAGACCTAGGTGGTTGTTGTATTTGTTGGGCAGTTCGGATTGTTTTTTTGTTGAATCTGCCATCTTGAGGACCAGGACATGGTAGATGAGGAGCGTACATACTTAGGTGGCCTACATCCTGATCTTCAAAGGACAGACCCAACTTGTATTTTGAGGAGGATATCCTTGTGAGTGTGGATTTGAGTGAGTTGAGTGAGTCACAGTGTGGAGACATTTTTTTTTGTACAGGATATCTTATCCCTGAGTGTATGTTGGAAACATTTTGTGTGGGATATTTTATCCCTGAGTGTATATTATATCGAGATCTTTTGGGGACTACTTGTTGTGTATGACGATCACTCTCACACTCACTTGTGTGGTCCTGGCTTGATGGATGATGATTTGGTGTGAAACATGCCCGAGGAAATATCTCATGTGCCTTGTACCTTGTGAATCTGGATGAATGTGAACTGTCTACTCGCCGGTATACTCGTGCGATCCGCCCCTGGGCAGATGAGAGAGACGAGTATAAGGCAAGGAAGCGCAGTCTGTTTTGTGAAAGGATGTGAGGATCATGAATATTTGTATGGTGAGTGTTCTATTGTTGAGCTGTGTAGAAGACCCATAAGTTGGTTTTTTTATATAGATCATATGATGAGTGGGACACCTGTGAATGGAAAGGTTGTCCATTATCTATTTGGAAGACGCATCTTCAGAGAGAGAAGATGTGTTAAAGAAAAGGTCGCGAGGGAGTTCATCCTAGAGAGAGAGGGATGGCCGAGAGACCTATTGAAGTGAGACCTCCTCTATAAATGAGGTGGTTAATAAGATTAATAAATGGAAGGTTGACTTTGAGTAATAAAAGACTGACGAGAGGGACCAAATTTTGTTTGACTATTAATGGAGTTTTTGAATGTCGCAAATGGTGCATTTTAAGAGATGTCATCAAGATGTGTGACTTTCTTGCTCTGATCAAGCTAGGAGGTCACGGCCTTGTGAATCAGGCGGTGATTTTGTTTTGTGATTGTGGAGAGGTTGTCGTGCTTCCTCTGTGTTGTCCCACAGAGGGACTGGTAAATACCTTTATATGCGACAGGTCTACGCATAGTCCTGCAGTAGGCTTGTATTGTTGTGACACACCGTCCGACCGCTTGTGCTAATCTTGGACATTTATAAGAGACCCAGCTAGGGGTATAACTAGCATCACTAAGGCGCAACCCTTAGTGTTGGCCGCTGTTTGGCACAACCTAAGCAGAGGGTCTGCGTTTGGCCAAGGGGGTAAAGACTTAAAGGAGCGTGAACGCCTAGGAGGGTTTTACTCCTACGGAGAGGCGTGGGATAAGAGTCGAGTCATATGAGTCTTTTTGAGGAGGTCCTGATTGAATGCTTATCAGGAATAGCCTATCGTGGCACAACCCGCGAAGGCACTACCGCTGAAAGAACAATGCGGTGGGCCGTAGATCTGGAATGATCACCCAGACTATGGTGGGCCAAGATGGAGACCTAGCCTTCCTGTACGAGACTACAGGGAGGCTTATGTGGAGATTTATACGATATATTTATATGTGCTTAATGTGAAGATTTTTTTTGAGGGAGGCGAGAGAATGCGTTCAAAGGTCTCGGTTAAGGCCCGCGCACCTAGTCACGACCTTGGTTTTAGGGGAAGGGCTGGGGGCACACAACGAGAAGCCGACGGTTGTCTAGGGCACAGGAAAGAGGACGGTGAGAGGTCCATTGGAACTTATGCTGTAGTACAGTGAGGAGTACCCCGATGTCCGAATGTCAGGGTGACGGAGACCCAGGTTAGAATCCTGGCAGCATAAAGTTGTGTTTGGCATGGATTATTGGAGGCCTCAACCCTGGGTCTGTCGGCCAATCGGATTGGTACCCTGCTTGTCAGCACGTTTGGGATTGTGGTTGAATTAATAGCTTGATCCTGCGAAGCGACGGGGACGTCGCTTAATATGGTCCAGTAAGCTGTCGGCGCGAATACCCTTACAAGGGTATCCGCCCTGGTTTTTGCAATTGACAGGAAACAAGCCTAGTTTGAAAGTTCAAAATATGTTGTGTAAGGCTTGGTAATGTCCTAGAGCTACGCTGACTGAATAATTGACCGGAAATAGAGGGTATGTGAGCGCGCAGTTCAAGGCGCGCGTGTGATTTCTCATTTTAATCGGGAAGCCGATGTGGTCTTTTCCCGTGATTAAACCAGGGGGTTGGAATTCTTTGAGTCCATTGGCCGGCATGCCTGGCCAGGGGTAGAACTGGCGCGCCGGTGGGCATGCGGGAAGGCTACGCGCGAGTTGGTAGGCCGGTGCGGACACCCAGTGGCCATGGGGGCAAATGAGGGTTGAAGGAACGGCCAGGGCGGTATCTTGATCATGAGCACCGCGCGGTACCACCTTATATGGGTGGTTGCGTTTGCTGATACCAGGCTTGGGCTTAGCCCTATAGGTTACAGTACCAGACTCACACGACAGAAGTGCGGGGTTCGAGGCCTGCACGTGGCGCGAGGGAGCAGCGGAGCGTCATAGAAGGAAACTGATGGGGTTGAAGGCCAATGAGGCTATCCTCCCTCAGTTTTGGTGATGTGTGCGGCGACAGGCCCGGCCTGAGGGACTGGCGAGGAGCCAGTAGTTCCCGTTCCCCGTTGAAAGCCTGTATAATAAACGGGCTTTATTTTTCTCGTCTTTTTACTTTTTTTTTTTTTTTTTTTTTTTTTATAATTTAGTGGGTACACCCATGAATCGTAGGAAACACAGGCCGAGAGACCTTGGCACTATCGTGGGGGCAGCACCCCGGTTAAAGTGCTTGGGGCGTCCGATGAAGTCGGAGCGACACAGAAAAAATTAGCCTGTGCCCCTACGCGCGGATGACACGCATAAAACCGGGAAAAAGGGTCGGCACCGGTGTTTGTTTGACAACACTAATTCGACGAGCTGCGCGGATCGAAAGGACTAATGCAGAGTTGCGTTAGCAGGAGCTCCGTTGACAGCAATAGGGAGACGAGAAGGAAGACGAGAATGAGGTAGAGAAGAAGGCGACGGGGAGCAGGGTCTGTAGACGGTGAGGAAGAAGGATGAATCGGGACAGGGTCGGACGCCGGGTACAGGCGCAGTGAGCAGAGGTGAGGTGGCGGAGAGAAGGTCGGGCGCTGTACGATAACAGCGCTGGTCGGGGAGGCAACGGGCGACGAGCGCCAGGCACAGGGTGGTAAGGAGGAGGGAATGAACTTGGACGCGGGCGGCGCCAGGTGCATTCTGCGATGGGGATGGAGGAAACA